GTCTTAAAATCATCTTTTAGCTGGATACAGTAGTACGTACCTGTAATCCCAGCTACTCAGGAGGCTGAAGCAGGAGGATCTCTTGAGTCCAGGGATTCGGGACCAGCCTAGGCAATGAGCAAGACTCCATCCCGAAATAATAATAATAATAATAATAATAATAAATCTTCTCTTGAATTTTGAGCCATTTTACTTTTTCCATTTTTAGGATCTCTTGATTTTTCAAAGTATCCTTTTTTTTTATATATAGTATCCAGTTGTCTTTTCCTTGGTATCGTTCCGTAGCTCTGTATCTAAGGATATTAAAGGTATATATGTGAAAGTTTTGTTTTTAAAATTCTTTCATCTTGGCTTGTTCTGTTTCAAGTTGCTTTTTTTTCTATTTATTCTGATTTTGACCTTTTATGTATGTGATTTTCCTCACATATCTGTCTGATAATTCTTGGGTTTTGCTTCTGTTTAAAAGTGGAGGCCTAAATAGCAAAGTGGGAGTTTTGAGAATATAGTTGCAGCTTAACCATAGTTGCCTGTATCACTATGGACTGACCTGACAAGGCCATTTAGCTGGAAAATCTCTGATGCACAAAAGAAACTCCTCAGTCTCATCACTGGGAGAAAACAGGATTGACTGCCCACACAGTAAGGACAGGGCAGGGGTCCCCAGGTTCATTGTGCATACATTTGGTTTGCAGCATCTTGACCCACCCTTCACTGGGCCTATGACCTTCAGTCCAGCGACCTTCTTCTCCAGGCTGGGTGGGGCAGTTGCCAAATGCTGAGGAATGGGAAGGGGTAGAGCACCAGCCTGCCTCCCAGGCAGAGGATAATCAACCCACACTTTGGTTCCTGGTGGAGGCTTCTGCAAGTATAAATTTGGTTCATTCTCAGCTCTCTGACTAGGGCTTCTGGTAAGTTTTAACACTGTTCTATCTGCCTTCCAGAATTTGCTCCTTCTCACCTCTTTCCTGTTATTTTACCCTTAATGAATTTACTCAATTTTTTTAAAGTGGACCTGAGAAGAAGCAGAAGTATGTACAAACCACCCATCTCTTCAGAAACCAATAAGTCTTCCAGGACTGTGACTGCTTTGTGTTACCAAACCCTAGCCACTGCAGCCTCCAACTTTCATAAAAAAGCCTTTCTTGAAAACAATTTCTGAAGTATTTTACAGTATTTCAGTTACTCTGAGCAGTGCATTGCTCCCTCCCATGCAGGTCCAACTTACCTGATTGATTTTGTCTGTTATTCTTTTAAAGACCCACAATTGAGTAGATTTTAATAGGACCTCATCTTGCCTTATTAGGCATGATCCTGTTATTCTATTGCTATTTAATGCTTATTAGGAGCTGGTGGTTTCTTTTAAAAGTTGAATTACATAGAATCCCTTCCTGATAAATCGCTGATCCAAATTAGTGGGTAGTAATTCCAATTAATTGGCTCAATCCTCTACTCCCTGAAAAGCCACCATCATTTCATTGACACTGCAACTCTTCTTTGAGTCATAATATTATTTGTTAGGACTAGTTAGCTGTTACCTTTTGCTTGTTAATACAAGTGTTTTGTGTATTGTTGTAACAATGATTTTTGGCTCTTTGCCCAAACTTTTGCTTACTGCCCTCATGCAGACCTGGTACAAATTAGAAAGTGGTTTTTGCCAACCCAGTTCCACTTTGAGCCATTTCCTAGTTCCATTTGATTATTCATTGTAGCTATATTAATTGTAGAAAGCAATGCCCTCTAAGTGCCTTAGAGACTGTTTTGACTTTGCAAGATGGAAGCCCAACAGACAGTGGTCAGATGGCAACAAAAAAGCTTTACTGGGAGCTCTGACCTCTAGGTACCAAAGTAATATTAAACCCAAATCTGACTTTCAGATTGTATTTAATAAGCTCCTAAAAGGGAGTGTGTCCTTCCTTTAGCCTTTCTCACCTCGACTAGTATAACAAATCCCAAATATGTGCTGTGACTAGCAAAGCAATCAAAGAGGATCAGTAGCAGACATTAAAAATCAAGTGGTCCAGCCATGCAGCCTCTTGATATAAATGCTTTCCCTTAGTCCAGAGTGAGGAGGTAATGGGGGGCAATTCTGACCCGCAGGCCAAAGCTCTGCTAAGGCTTGCTTGCTACTATCCTAGAAGTAAGAATGGGTTTTGCAGTTTTAAAGGGTGTCACTATGAAAAATTAAGGTAAAAAAGAAAAGGAGAAGAGGGGGAAAGAAGCAAAAGAAGAGTGAAAAGGGAAATACCTAACAGAAACTATGTGATCCATACTGCCTGGGTCTTTATGAACAGGTTTGCAGACCTAGGGTCCAAAGACCCCTCTTCCTTGGCCTCATTCTTTTCCTGAATCACATGTTCCTTCTCAAATCAGGGAAATTGTCCCAAGTCTTTACTGTGGCTTTATCAATTTAAATATGTATATGTGTTTGTGCAAGTTTAAAAAAATATATAATTATAAATAGATTTGAATCACCAATTTTCCAGATCATAATATCTGAGATTATTTACCAATACAAATGACATATTGGAATATGTATGTGTACATAGGTCAGTGTAGACTAAATCCTTAGCCACACATTGTAAAAAACACAATATTATGAACAGTGTTGGCTTTAGGTGGAGCGACTATCATGAAAAATGACATGTCATGCTGAACTGTGTTTCTTCGTAAAGTATGAAATGTAGACAGAAGTTAATGCCTGCCTATGAAATACAAATATTCTTTCATTTACTGGAAGCCTAACCAAAGAAAAGTTTTCAATTAGCCAACTAACTTTAGAATAAGTGATATTTGGGCTGGGGATGTGGCTCATGCGGTAGCACGCTCGCCTGGCATGCGTGCGGCCCGGGTTCCATCCTCAGCACCACATACATACAAAGATGTTGTATCCGCCGAAAACTAAAAAAATAAATAAATATTTAAAAATCTCTCTCTCTCTCTCTCTCTCTCTCTCTCTCTCTCTCTCTCTCTCTCTGTCTCTCTCTCAAAACAAAAAAGAATAAATGATATATTTTTTAAAAATCATGACTTAAGCAGTTTTCCTCCTTTGGTCTTTATCCATAAGAAATTCTGATTACTATCATTACTCAGTTTCACATTATAAAACATTTCCATTCTCCATACTCCAGAACATCCTATTTCTAGGTGAATGTTCCAAAAACACCTCTGATCCTATCATTCCTTGCTTTGTAACTCTCAGCTCTACATAACTTGTCAGATTGATCCACTCAACATTAAGAAGTTAAAACAAATAAGTGTATTATCAAACACTCCCTTTCACATTAATCATTTTGAAAGTCATTGAAAAATAACCAGTTGTACAGCTTATACTATTCTACATATTGTGGTATAATTCTCTCACTGTTGTGGGACTTTTTTCATATTTGCCTTGATTTTCTTAACAGAGTTGGCACACTGATAAACTGAAGATTCCTCCAATCGTCAAGTATTTCTCTTTGCTATCAATAGGTGATTTCATAGCATATTCAGATGATTGATCCAAAAGAATGTTTGTGCCTGGCATAATGGTGCACACCTGTAATCCCAGTGATCCAGGAAGCTAAGGCAGGAGGATCACAAGTTCAAGGCCAGCCTGTACCACTTCACAAGACCCTGTCTCAAATTTTTAAACAAGGATTCGGAGTTTCACTCAGTGTCAAAGGTGCTAGAGGGTTCAAGCTCCATCATCATAAAAAATAAAAATAAAGCTTTGTGAGGTCAGAGCTCCAGTACACAACCTATTTTAAAATTTAACCCTCCTTTAATATCCATTATTAACATGGAACTTTGCAGTTTATAGAATACTTCCATTATGATGTCTTATAATTATTCATTATAACCTTTTGAGCCTGTACTATAAAACAAATATATATATATATATATATATGTATCCCTCATCAATCTTTAATGCTTATCTTAAATGGTACCTGGGACTTACATAGTCAATTAGCTAACTTAGTGCTCTTTGATTCCTCTGTGACTGGTCCAGGGAACACACAGACTTGTCCTATGTTCATAGAATTCATCTCCAGCTGATAAATAGAATTCATTCTAAGGATGAGCACTGACATCAAATGTAAACTTTTACATCTTTCCTTGCAGAAAAAATTCATTTTTAAACATAAACAAGCATATTCTGTTGTTGGGATGGCAGATTGTAGAAATCCATAGGTCAACATTAAGCCATTGGCATTGTTTATTTTTTAAAAATGAGAAAATAAAACAGAAAAGTAGATTTCAGTGAGAAGCTGGTCTTGAAGTAAATGGGCGTGTCCTGGAAAAATGTGCTCTTGAGGAATCGTGATGGATCTGTACTGTTGTCAACTGTGGGTATTTAGGGAAGGAAACGGGACTCTTAATAATATGCCAGTCAAGTCAGCGAAGCACATGGTAGGGAGATGCTGATGCACCCTGTCTCAGCAGGAAACAAACAATTAGTTGTGCACTTTTTAGAGTTTTAATCATCTGAGATTTATTAACAAGGCACACTGCTGACTGAGGAGGGTAGGGGCACTTGTACATAATACAGAAATGAATTGAGTCATCATTTAGGATATGGAACTTATCCTCAAACGGAATGCATTGAAATGACACTAAATGTCTCAAAAAGTACAAAAGGAAGGGAAAAATAAAGGGAGGAGGACAAAAGACATTAATTCCAAATAACTGCCTTTATCAAGAGGGGGATAAAAAAGAGCAAAATGTTTGAAATGCCTAAAAGTTACCAAGTTCCTTTTATTAACTCATCTGTTCATTTCTATAGCCTCACTACTGAATTGATGACTTTTTTTAAAAAAGTGGGAAAACTTCCCTTTCAAAGTAAACCAGGAAAAGCTTTGAAAAGCACTGTTGCTCTAATGACAGGGTTAGGGGGGCCTGTCCTCCTACAGTTAATGAGCTTTTCGCCTCCTGCAGGGAGAAAGCAGCCATCTCAAGGTCTGCACTATGGCCAGATGCTCCCAAGCAATTAGGAGCTGATTAAGTGTTTATCTTCTTTACAGGTGGGAAGGAAAGAATGAAAACGAAGTGGGCAGATGTAAAGAGACCGGCAAAGTTCACGTGACTGTGGATCTCAAATACTACAGACCAACTGAAGTGGTAAGGTCTCCCTCATCGCCCAGTGTGTGGTCACATTTGGCCACTAACTGGGAAAATGCTCTCATTGAATGCCTATTGCCAACTTTCAAAGCCATTTGTGCACCTCTCTGGCATCCTTCTGCAGGCATTTCCCAAACCAGAACACGGGAATTAAATTTGTGATATCATTATCACCACAAAAATCCATGACTCTATTAAGAAAAACAAGAGTAAAACACACCCAAGGAAATAGTTGATCTCAGAAATGGAGGCTGATAGCATGGGCACATCCCATCACATTAGTCTGTTCTGATGGCTGATCTCCAATGCTAACTTTATAAGTCAGGTGCTCTGGACCTTCAGGGTCTGTGGGATCTGGAGGATCACTTGATGCTCTAGCTGAGCCTGTGCACCCTTGCACATGTGCACACATACACTCACATTCATGCACACCCATACAAGACATATTCACAGACATACCTAAGTGATTAACAGACCAAAGACTCACCTCAAGTACCACACAGTCTATGAAGCCTTTTCTGACCAATACTCTACTACCACTGTAATTTCTCCCCTTTCCTATGTGTCCACATTGTCTGATGTGCATAATTCTATTATAGTACCTATTATAATCACTTGTTTTCATGTCTTTCTTCCATTATCAAACTCTGAATTACTTAAAGATAGGGACTTTTTTTAAAAAGAGTATAACAATGTAGGTGTTTAATACATACTGACTGATGGGTTGATGGATGAATAAATTTATAAGTACAGAAGTCCCTTTATTAAGAAATAACCCATAGATCATTAGTATCAATAGTATATATTATTAATGCATAATATCTTCTTTTCCTGAATTTATGGAAACATGTAGCTTAGTATTGTTACTTTAATGTGGTCCATTCTCACTATGGTGACAAAACACAAGATCTTAAATATAATAGAAATATACAAAGACAACTGGAAGCCACATCTTGAGACTGCAGCATTCTAATGTGATGATCACCAAATGAAGTGCACATTAACTGTGAAGGTAGAATCCTTTTGAACTCCTTTCCCTGTTTTGAACCAATTTTCTTTCTGGTTATACAGCCTTTCAGAGATTAAGAAACTGCCAGAGAAAAGAAAAATCAACTGTGAATATGTAGTCATTAAATACCCTTTAAAATTGTTGTTTCAAACAGAAACAAACAAAAAAAAAAAGCTGTAGTTGGTGCTCTGGTACACACAGGAGGGGAGAAAAGGCAAAGGAAGCAGCCAGTGCTTGGGAGAGGCAGGACTGCGTGGTCCTGCATTGTCCCAGCACAGGGCGTGGCCCAGGCTTTGACACAGCCAACAATTGTTCCTGGTGCTAATGGTGAGTGGGTGTGCCTAGAGAGGATGTGCCCTGTCCCTGGAGGAGGAAGATACCCGCCACACTGCTGCTGACACAGCACCGACTGCCTGTCTAGAGTCCCAAGCCACACTGCCGTTTGTTTCCCCTGTCCCCATGAGGTGCCACAAGGGCATCATTTTTCTGGAACATTGCACAAATAAAATATATGTGCAAATTCGTTTTTCTGCTCACAAACAAAAATAGTCATCTCAGAGTGGAAAATTAACAAAGCCAAAAGAAACCCGAGTGCTTACAACAGCTCAAATGTGGCTCTTTCTCTCACTTGACCCCAAAATAGTTTCAAAAGCTAGGAAGTCATTAAGAATGGCTTGTCTGTCATTCTCACTTAGGCAAGGTGTGGGATTGATAAGGACACTGAACAAAAGAATTTGCTGAACAGGAAAGGGACCCTAAGACTAACAAGACTTGTTCTTGAATCCCCATGGACCCTCTTTCCTGCAGCAACACTATGCCCCTCCTCCATTTCTTTTGTTCATTCAAGCGCTATCATCATACCTGTTCTGCAACTCTGTTGACACTAGCATTGTTTGAACATAAGAGTGGTGTCTAATTTCATATGCCTGCTTTTTTTTTTTTAACAACCCATCTAGCTCTCCTCTGAGATTCCATTTCCCTCCTGATTTTGGATCTTAAACTATGTTTTATCTTTCTAGGCCTCTAGGCTGCATTAATTACTTTCACTCCACTTCAACTTGGTATTCCACTGGGTGTACTTTTCTTGTATAGTGATATTACAAATTTTAACCTAATTCCTCAGAATGAGATTCCCCTAAAACTTGGAACAACATGATGTCTTCTGTGGAGTTTTCCTCTGGGATGACCGTTCTTCCTGTCAAAGGCATCTAGAACAGTCTATTCTGCACAAGCCAGAGGTTTCTTTTCATTTTTCCTGGGATTGATTCTATGAAAGTTTGTTCTCCTGATCAACTTTGGTCATCTATCCCCCAAGATCTTCAGTATATTGAGGCACTCGAAGCTAAAAGCATAAACTTGGCCCAAGGGGAATGGTTCATGAGTAGAGCACGTTTCAGTATACTGAAAGCCCTGGTTCCATCACCAGGCCAAAAAATAGAAAACAAATTAAAAAAAAGCATAAACTAGGTTTTATTACAGTTAAATGATTCCAGAATGACTGACAGAAAAAAAAGTACCAAGAAGAAAATTTGAAAACAATAAAATATGATGAGAACATCAGGTCTCATAACATGAATATCCTAAAGCAAAATTAATAGGAATTAGAGCTTTATGTTATTTTTTTGAATAAGCTCAGCCTAGTCTTAAGTAAGTCCCTTTGCTCAGCAAAGTCAGTTACTCATCCAAAAGAGGCCACCAGTGAGACATGTAGAACATGGTTCTGCATGTGCTTATAACTTTTTTCCTCACTGATTTATCCAATACTAACCCTTAAATCTTGCTCTTGTTCCAACTTGGAATGTTTTTATTCTGGACCAAAGACTTCAGCATCCAATTAGAACTGAATAGAGCCCCATTTAATGGTACTTAACCTATAAGCCTTTGGGGTTTCCTTTAGATCTTTAGGAGTTTTGCTGCTACAGATAGCTTAATCTTAGAAATTAGACTTTAAATTCTCATTGACTCTGAATTCCAGTATTTGCTGAAGGCAATCTTAATACTTGGAATTCTGTACGACCTAAGACTTGTGCCTTGGCCTGGGAGTGCCTTAGCATGCATGAAGCCCTGGATTCCATCCCCAGCATTGCAACACAAAACAAAAAGATTCCTTCCTTGTGTATGGTTACTTATACATACATAGGTTTATCCCACCGATTTATTACAGAATATACTCATTTCTGGAGAAGTAGTAACATTGTGTCCTGGGAACCCCTCCCCTCAAAAAATGTAGGACTTTGAGCCAGACTACCTAAATTCAAAACCTGTTTTTGCCTAGCTGTGTGACCTTAGGCAAGTTACTTAACTTCTCAGTGCGTCTGTTTTCTCATTGTTAAAAGTAAGGTTAATAATAAAACTTCTTCCAAAGAATTGCTGGAGATTTGACAGAGTCCATTATACAGTGTCTGGCACACAGTAAATACCTAATATTGTTTATTTATTCACTCACTGAATATTTAATAAACACTGTGCTAGACCCTGGGAATACAAGTATGAACAAGACACATGTGGCTCCTTCCCTTGTAGAGGTAGGATGATACCAGTTCCTAGAGTCCAGAACCTTTGGAAACTTTCGTAGGACATCATTAATGAATTGTGCAGGTTAACCAGTGATAAGTGGATAACAAAGGCTGATGGAGACTTCTAGCAAACATTAATATGTACTTGTTCTGTCTTGGTTCTCATTCTTTTGGAATCTTTCTTGAAGGTTCAGTAGCTATTCAGTGATATGGAAATATAAAAATAGGAGAAAATTTGTACTGACCTATTGTTTAGTTTAAAATAACCACAAAGATATCCTCTTTTTCTTTGAGAACTTTAACTTGGAAAATTCTCAAAGGAAGGATTAATGGAATATTCATCTTCATGTGCCAGATTTTTAACCACATCATATGGTTGGTTCACTAAAAAATAAAAAATAATAAGACTTTTTCATTGAAATAAACAAAATCCTTTTTGTCTACAGAGCACTTGTAGGAATTGGGGTGATGGATACATTCACAGACCCAAATCAATTATTTTCCTGAAAATATATTTTGGTTTAAACTCCACTAGGTGATATTTACTAACTTTTTTTTCATTGCTATACCATTTGTCTTTAAAATTTACTTTTCTCCCTGTTGTATTTCCAGTGTTCTAAGTTGTGCTTGGTTCTTGTTTTATTTACCTAGAAACCTTATATTTATTCCTAATCTTTACAGATATTAGCAAAAAAAAATCATGGGTTAAAATCTAGAACTAGAAAAGCAATAACTTCAAAGAAGTCTGACCAGCAAGCTCAAGTGACTCCCTCCCCCCGTGAAAACCTGTGGACTGTTTCTAATCAGACCACCATATGCTTGTCGAGTTGTCCCTCCCGCTGTCCCCCACCACAAACTTTTCCTAATATTTTTCCGTAAACTATGTTAAGTTAAATGGCCTGTAATTGCTTGCTCTATCTCACAACCCTGTTTGGAATAATGATATGTAACACTTTCCAGACCTCAGGAATCTGATCTGTCATCAGAGGACTTGTATAAATACCAGTTAGAGCTTCCCTCTGTATTTGGGGGTGAAAATCCCTGGACGTGTTCACCAGGGTGGACTTTTGTCCTGAAACTTGTCCCCTTTTCCTCCTGTAGCTGCTCTCACTACTGCACACTTGCCCTCCCAAAGCAGGAAATGAGATCCCCCACTCTATCTGCCGCAGCTCTGATAGAGGCATTCCGTCTCTCCGTCCTGATCTTCTGACCTCGAAGGCTCTCCTTCTCCCCTCCACTCCTGCTCTTCTTTGTTCCTTTCTCTGCCTGGTGGAAGCCAGGGTCAGAGGATGCAGAGAGCAGATTAGGGCCAGCGCCACTCTTCCGGCACTCCTGGCTCTGTGAAAGGAGAAGCTAGACTATTCGTTCTGAAAGGTCCCTTCCAGTTTTAATGTCCTGGCACCTTCAGACCACAGTGGTGTGGAATGCTGTCAATAATGCCCAATCAGAATGCTTCCTCTTTTGTAATTATTCTC